ACTCTTACCGAATTCGAATTTTCTTGGTCCACTGAGACAGGATTCATTATTTTCCACTGAAACATTTTGTTCGCACAAACCCCGCCCCCTGCGGGCGGAGTCCGGTCCTGCCACCCACGATACGTGTTTCCATCCTGCCGAGTGTGCTCCTACCTGATTTGAACGTCCTAGGTCCACGGGGACAGGAGTTATGATTTTCCGCTGAAACATTTTGGTTGCACAAACCCCGCCCCCTGTGGGCGGGGTCCGGTCCTGCCACCCACCATATGTGTTCTCATCCTGCCGCCTGTGCTCCTACCAAATTTGAACGTCCTAGGTCCACGGAGACAGAAGTTATGAATTTCCGTACAAACAGACAGACAGACAGAGAGACGGACAGACGGACGGACAGACAGACGCGAGCGCTTTATATAAAGTAAGGATAGGGTAATATTTACCCTTGAAATGAACTCGCACTTTGATAGAGGTATAGTACATCGTTAATGAAGACAAATTAGTGCAAACGAAAGCCAAGGGTGCGGTGGGAATGATGATAACCCTGTCAGTACGATTCGCCTTTCAGAATTCTACTTTAATACGGGCTCCCATAACTCAATGAATTTTTCTCTTTACCACGGGATTTCACACTTGTCCCACTTCCAGATTGAACCATCGACTGAGGTGTGGGAAAGAGAGAGGGGTACAGGGCAGAAAGCACGATCCTAGACTCCTCAAGACAATTAAATTGTTAAGTGGAACAAATCTTCCCACAAGGAAGAACTTCCTTTGTTAGGAATTTTCCGACCCCAAGTATGACCGTGATGATAGCTGGTTACGGTTAATTGGCTTAACTGGGTTCCCTAAGTGAACCACAAAGGTGCTACGGACCAACCGCATTGGCACAATTCAGAATGGTTCTAGTATCACGAGGCCAGTACCCGAAACACCGTGGCATACCTACTCTAAAACTTGAAGGAGGCTTGAGCACCACGTTCACCCGAGTCGGCTAAAGATTTACAAATAGCTTGGGATTGTTTTGTTTATTATTTATTTTTGGTGAACATCAAGGTTTCGACTGTTGGATACCACACCCTGAACTACCACCAATTGCTTACAAGTATGTTTGTCGACACAAGCGCTGGTTTCACAGAAGGTGATTGGGGTGTGTTATGACATGCACCAAACACTTCTACGACGAAAACATAAACAACATCAATAAAGAAGTTGTTATCAGAAACAACAACGCAGTAATACATAGGAAACGAGTAAGACGTTGACGACAGCGAACGTTCTTAGCATACCAGGGGACGAGGTCACAGAGGTGAGTGATCATTTCTTCGCTGAGATATGAACGTGCTGATAAGACGACTGCTCCCACCTCTGTCTCGATTTTTGGTCTAACATGAATTGAAGGAATGTTAACCTTCGCATTTTATTTGTTTACTCATAGTTACATTACTATTTATTTTTTTCTGCTCATATTTATTTATTCGAGCAAAAATGGTGTAGTGCTAAGTGACGCACTTTAACACATGCATTGCCCGAAGATCGAATCCCGGACCGGCACCTACCCCTGCCAACCAAAATGGGGTCGGACTCGTCTGGGGGATGAAAGCACCGTATGTGGCCTATACAATACTTGCGGTAGCCAGGTGATATAGTAGGTATATCACCTGGCCACCACAAGTATTGTATAGGCCACATACGCATTCAATCGCCGCCGCGATTCTGAATGAAAGCCTAGTGCGTGGGTGCATCCCACAGTCGGGAATGTTCAACGTCAATAGAATTTGTCCTTCACCCATTCTCTATATTTGGAAACAGAGGTTCCCATTCTGCTCTGAATATATTTCAATGGACGACAAAAACGAAAAAACCTGAATCTTCTGATCCCATCTTATGACAATGGATTCACTAGGAGAAAATTTTGTGAGGAAAGCAGCCTAAGTCGTGGGAAATTCATTTTATTTCAACTCATCCAGTTACACGAATTTATTTGTCATTATTGCTTGATACTTTATGAAGGAAGAGTATTAAGCCGTGGCATGGGTTATCCAAGAGGTTTTAGATTATAAGATAACACTCCGTTACCCTCTGCATTAAAGTTCCAGTGTCGCTATCACCCCCTCCCCTCCCATAATTCCCGATTTAGAACCCCCGATCCAATCAAAACTTGCCATTTCCGAAATACAGTGGAGCCTCCATTCCAAAAGCGCAATGACTCGATCCCCAAAAAGACTTCCTCACAATCTCTCATTTGCTACATAGACAGCAGATTTCAATGGCAGAATTCAAGTCAAGCAGCCTGTAGAAAATCTGTTGATTTAAGAAGAAAATTCAAGAAGGTTCTAACAAAACTATTAGGATTCTTTGAAAAAAGTTATCAATAGCTGAAAAAGAGTTTTCGATACGGGAGGAAAGGGCATGGTGCCAAATGGCGCGACTATCACTTGCATGGTTCCCATTTCAAACTTCCAGACCGATTTTGCACTTTCCTTTTTCAGTGTTTGTTGTGGCATTTCAAAAACGGTTTGAATCAAATTCAGGGAGATTCTGTTTTCATCTTCAATTCATCTTTTCATTGACGGCGTCACAGGCCGAATGGCAGTCTAATATGAATACAGTACGTTCCCCTCTTGCACTTAAGTTTTTGTAGAGTTGGTCCCAATTTTGTTGTTTCAGAAAATGCAGCCATTTGAAATATTTTGAGCGTTTGCAAGGGTCTGAACAAACTACAGAAAATTTATTGCTCTTTTACGAATTTGCCATTTATAGCTCGAAAAAGTCCCCGAAAAAAGGGAGATCACATGAGGCTCGTATGTCAAGTTCAAGGACAAATCCGTATGTTATGAGTCATTTAGTTGAGCGCATGATCTTTCCGTCCTTGAAAGCTACGTATCACTTACCATACCGGAGAGGTAAAGTGGTTCCACAACTCCCCATGGGAGAATTTCTTTCCAAAAAAAGTTCCATCATGTGAGTGGATAGCATTTCAAAACTGTAAGAGTAATAAAGTTGTTGTTAAAAGTCACGAGCTACTCGAAGTGGACTTTGACAAATGTCTTCTCAATCCTAAATTATTACCCAAGTGAATGTCGACAGATGTTTACCGAAAAAAATTCCTGGCTAGAAAAATATGGTCCTAAAATTAACAGCTCCTTTCTGCTACCGTAAACTACCCCTTCGGCCAAGCTGAGGCAACAGGGACTTGCAGTAAAAGCTTGGAATGAACGCCGAATGACCGACAGTAGTCTATGAAGGGAACGAGCTGATTGTTCTGACAGGGGACCAGTTTTAGGGTATGCCTAGGGTATGCCAAACTCGCATGAAATTCCACTAAGTGACATCACATACCGCTTTTTAGACGTACAAAACTGATGTGCTACCGTAACCCTAACAGAACCAATCTTACGGTAAGCAATCCTTACATGGAAATATACGGTATCTTCAGTACGCAGTCAGTACAGCGCGAAGTGGAAAGGATGCGTTTCTCAATATACGTAAGCACACGTGGGGAAGGGGGACTCCCACATGATACGTCAACGAACGGAGATCAGTGGCGTTGACTTCTATGGGAAAGAATTGAAGGTCAAGTTGGTCGGTCGGTGCGTCATGCGATTGTTATGATGACCAGGCGGTTACCGAATGGCTTCCTCGATACGTCAAACGAACACAAGGACGGCCGTTGGCTCGAAAGCCAGAATTCTTCGAAAAAAAANAAAAAAAACTTTAAACAAAATGAATGATAGGCTTCCCCTTCCACAAGCGAGCACAGTTCATCGGACTACATTGGCTTGCGTCAGGGACGAAATGAGACGGTACTGGTCCCCGTTCAGAGAAGTCGGTGATGAACAAAGTGCCAGGTGAGCATCCTCAAGATAAGTGGAGCCATAGGGGTCCTATTGAAGAATAATTCTAATAAGTGGGTAATACGGTGACTAAGAAGTAACATGTCGCGGTTGAGAGTTGGTACCGGTTTTGGTCAACCAAGCATTCGTTCCAAACAGGTTATTCGATACCTTCCCAATTAACTCAACTGCCCAATTCAACTGAAGAGTAACAGTGATGACTTGAACAAAAGAAAACCTCTGCAGCTCATTGTATGAAAAACTCCTCAGGGAAAGTCTTCCTGATCGATGGAAATTCACACGAAAAAGGATCGCCCCATGGGTGATGGAGGCAGGAAAATTCGTTCTTTGGTGGTGCTGCAACCCTGTTACTTTGAGAGGAATTAAGGAAATGAGAATGATGCTCAAGAAGCCATGGGAAAATCGACACCTTTATGAGATCCTGTGAAGAAAAAAAGGCTTTTCTCCATTAGCGCTTTTTTACTACCCGAATGTTTTTTTTACATGAAGTCAAATCCAAAACACGTATTTATTCAGAAGTGGATGGGAAAAATAAGTGGAACATAATGGAGGCACAAACAGAATTGAAAACAATCATGGAGAAGCTATTGAGCGGCGGCCACCTCTAACTCCTCACCAAAGCCATCGCCGAAAATGAAGTATCACCAATTTCCGCCATCATTTCCTTTATATGCTTCCCAGCAGCACTCACTAGTGCCTCATCTTCGGGTGGGTTGCCCAACGGACGAGGGAAAGGTGCACAGGAATCTGAATTGATACTTTCAATGACCTATTAAACCGAGCGGGGCCGAGTTTGTTCACTATCTAAAGGCGAAAAATTTTTATAAAAAAACTGTTTCCTTAAGCTGCAGCTCGAGGTCGTGCTCACTTTGCGAAAACTTCGACATTCCATAGGAATGGTATGTGCCCACGCATTTGACTTTCATCCGCCTTTACAGAAGCACAATCAAAATTCACTAATGACTCTCCTTACCCCATCGTCTCACTTTTTCACACTTAGTTATTTATTGGTATTCTCGATGCTCGTTTGGACTGAAATACTTTAGGAAATCTTCTACACAAATCCGAAGTTGCATACTGTATGTAGTGAATAGGAGTTGGGCTTCTGCTGATGTTCTTCAATTAGATTTTAAGTTTCCAAAAAACATCCATAAACTTCAATTGTTGCTCAAAAACAAAGTCTCAAACATGTACCGATTTCATGAAAAAACAAAAGCTGGATATCGGAGGCTAAGGCAAAAGTAATCGCTGGCGTTTCTAATCTTGACTTTCCGCGCCTTCTGCGCAACAAGAAGCCAGCGACAACTCGAAAATTCCTTAGAAAACTGGTATGAATGCAGAATTTCACTACCATCTTCCCCTTTAAAACACAGGAAACAACCAACTCCCTCTCTTCATCACATGCCCTTTTTTGGACGCAAGACTCAGTCAAGCATTGACCTGATGGGTAAGTAGTTGTTCGAGTCATTTTCAGTCTATTCAATCCAGTATGGTAACTATTTGCCAATCCAGGAAATGGAGGACTTTTTGAGCTTAAAAGGATAAAAGTTCGAATCTGAAGACGTCAATCCATCCTGTCCAGGGGATACGCCTACGCATTCAATTTCCATTCAGAATCATAGTGGCGTATTAAACGTATGTGTACATAGGTGGCCCATACAATGACTTGCGATGGCCAGCCGTTGTACATGTCGGTGCCTTTATCCTCCCAGACTTATCTGGTGCCAACTACCGATTCCCGAGGGAAAAAGACTCGGTTGACCTAGGCGAATATGTCCTGGATTCGAAATCGTGACCATTTGTGTGATAGTGCGCCAATTGCCATTACAGCACTTCCTCTTCTACTTTGACATTGAGCCTAACAAGATTAAGTACAAGGATTCTGCGAAGTTGCTGACGTAATCAATTGGCGTAACTCAACATGAACTTCAAAGTTTCATCCCGATAAGGGCAGATCTTACAGGTTCTTCTGAAGTGACCTACTCATCCGAGTAGTTGGCTGATTAACACAAAAAAACAATGACATAGAAGGGACTGGAAGGAGAACACTCCTGAGTTGGTCGCGGAAGCAAATGGGCAATAACACATTGTGTTAAACGTCTAGCTCACCTATCTCATAGAGAACGCCATCCTTCTTCACGTAACAAATGAAGTGATGCTCGACGTTTGTTGGTTCTTCGGTTTCTCCTTCTCTTGCCGTTTCTTCATGGGCAGTCGAAAGCTCCTCATCTGAACATGTGAGCAGATATTTACGAATTTTCGGTTAAGGGTATAGGAGAGAGTGCTGATTCCGTACGCGAATTATCACAACCTAACAATTACTGCAATTATTCACAGAGAAGCCAAAGCTCATCCCAAAAATGCTCGATCTGACANATCCATTCAAGGAAGCTTTACGGCCCGTTGAATGCTCGAGGAACGTACAAATAGACATTAATTAGTTAACTAATTTCCACTACGCTTGTTTATAGGATTTTTGGTAGAATAGCAGAGAACCCGCCATGGAATGAGAAATACAGCATTCCGAAATAGTGTGGTATCGAACTGACCCAGAATGAACTAGCACTGCAGGGACAGTGAGCTCACTCCAGCGAACAACATCCATGACTGAAGAACAAAGTCGAATTTTGTAGGGGATGGGGAAGGGAGTGCGATAGATAGGTAGTAAGTACGGTAGTATGAGGAGCTCCTACTATAGAAAGCTTATTTCAGCACGAATAAGCAGACAAGTACTAAAGATGAGAATGATTTATGAAGAAAATGGATGCGTGAGCATCGATGAGGAAAACATCATACCCTGAAGGACCTAAAGACATCACTCTTAACTGATTATTACATCCCTAAACAATGCAGTACAGTACGCAGAGAGGAATGAGCCAAAAGGGCACTAGACCTACGAAAACCATCGGTATTCATATACCACGATCGACTTTCTCTTAATCTTGGCATAACCTTTGACTGATGTGTATGTATATTTGCTTCAGCCTTTCCAAGATTTTNNNNAACCATTGAGACTGACTCTATTATAAGGCGAGATAAACCCACGACAGTTCTTCAGACTGGAGAGCCCTCGAACCCTGTATACATGAGGCTCACCTTGATCTAAATCGCCGGAGCGTTAGATCGACCACCCACTGTTTACAGTACGCGTACAATGAGCGAGCCTTCCTCCTTTCCGACCTCACCGTAAACTCAAAATTTTTATTACTTTTTCAAATCAAATTTCAAATGGTTTTCGACTTTTTAGGCTCTGATGAAGGCGAACTCGCCGAAACATTAGCCCTACAAAGTTTAAAATCCTGGAAAGGCTGAAGCAAATATACATACACATCGATCGGTATTCAATTTATTACAGTCGAAGTCCAAGTTTCAAAACCATATAAGTTCTTTCTTACTGTGAATGTGAGCAACTCTTAAAAAAAGGCAAATTGGCTTGTCCTGGAGGAGTGCTCTTGCTTATAAATAGCTTAACGGGACTCACTAACACAGACCAGTATTTTCAACCGAGTCAATCGATAAGAAGAAGGAGCTCAGAACCGCTAATGGATGGCGAGAGCCCTGTTAAGCAAATGGCTGCGTCTAACTTTCAACTTCCTCTCCACACGAATGCAAAGGCTTGCACTTTCAGCTAGCAGCATGAGAAAAACACTCAGCTTTATCGAAAACACCCTCAAGAGGCAATGCTTGTCGTTCAAATACGCTCACGAGCTTATGAGAAAACCATATGGGATTTCGTGTCAGAACAACGACAACGTCCTATCCAGCACCACAGCAAATGACAAGGGCGAATGGAAAGATTGCTAGCATCCTTTCGAGGGACCAATTTATCAAAAAGCACGAGATGCGCTACAGGTAACAGGTATTGCTCTAAATAATCAACCTAACATACTTGTCAGTGTGTTAGGGAGTAGCAGCGGAGTTAGATGAGAGGAAGTACCCCGGAACCCAATGTCCCCCCACCCCCCACTTTCTAGAAAATTTAGGGCTTTGATAATGAGTGCACGTTTGTGATGCTGATGTTAGATGACAACAATTACTGATAGCAAGGGGTGATAAGAGGAAACAATACGAGAAGCATCGGAAGGTAAACATAATCATAGCTTGAGAATCACAAAAAACATGGAAACGTTGTCTAAAAATAAGTAGGAGAGTTGACGGCATGTACTAGAAAAATGGTAGCAAGTGAAAAACAGTTATAAGAGACAAATGAGACTGTACGGAAGTGTCAGTCACGAAGCGTTCACCCTGTGACGGCCAGTGCTAGTGACAGATCGCTAGTGGATGAAAAGCAGCGATATCAAATGATAAGGAGGTGCATGGCGCCACCAAATTCGGCATGTTCTCGAGCGCTCCGCCAAACGGTTACACATACGTTCGTGAATGAATCAGGGGCGTTGAGGCGCAGAGTTCCGTGGATTGTATCAGGGATAGATTACATGAAATTAAAAACAAAATCAAATTGTAACGACAAAACGGCGGAAATAATGTAGTGGCGAGTCTCACACTAACACATGCGGTCCTGGGATCGATTCCCAATATCCGTCCAGAAAAATCAGGCCTTCGGTCCTTCCAGGGTTGATTGGTACCAAGCTCGTCTGTGATGAAGGGAAAGCTCTGAGCTGTTCATCGGCTGGTCACCACAAGCCATTGTTTGGAGCTACATAAACAATCAAACCGCCACTATGATTCATAGATGCCAAAGACGAGGTTATCTAACGCCAAATTTTCAACTTTCAGCCTTCGATGATGTACAGCTGCGCATCTTTCAAGTGAAATGACAGCGTCCACTTAGCGATACCAAGAAAGTTGGTAGTTGACCTCTGTGATGCCTTCAGAAATGGCAATGAATGTAACGTAATTTGAATGGCTTCAAATGGCGTGATCCCACGAGTGTGAGAGTTGGGAGTGACATTCTCACCCTGTTTCATGAGTTCAGCGTAATTTCCAATCTTCCTAAGTAACGGTCCCTGGAGTATTAATTTCGTTACCGGACGCAAGATCCATCATCGGTGCCGCCTAATCCCTTTCGGCATTTACTAATTGCAGGCCCATACAACAATGCAGTGGACAATATTACCACGACATTTAATGCCCATTACCATCACCTGCTATCTCTGCAAGAATTATTCGAGCCCTAAAAACAACACATTACAATTATGAGGTAAACGTCTATTGATAGCTCTACCCTTTTGAAGGCGGAGAAGGAGCAGAGTGGCAAAAGTGGCACTACCACATGTGCATGGTTTGGGCATCGATTACCGGATAAACTCTAGCCCAGAACAGCACACTCTTCCATCCTTCCGGGTGAATTAAATGGTACCGGACTCCTCTGGGAAGACAAAAGCACTGACTTATGCATTGGCCGGCCATCGCAAGTTAATGTCTACAACTTCTTATTAGTGGCTTATTCGCACTAGTAACGCTCCCACAATTCCGAATGGAAGTCGAAAGACGGGGCGCATCTGGAACAAGATTCTCCAACGTCTATAGATTTTAAGCTTCATCCTTTTGACCTTGTGAATGGCAGATGCTGTTGCTTTTTTTCGGAAATCCAAAATATGGCAGAATACGGGAAGCCTATGGAATTAGACGAACTTACTATTCAGAAGCAGATCTGATCTTTCCTCAACAGACGATAGCTTTGCCTTCTTCAACCAGTTAGAAAATGAGCCGTTCCCTGCAAAACAACGGCCACAGTTGTTGCCTAGACTTTCTATATGAATTACTAAGCAGTAAGTTACCAAGGTTGGATTACCTAGGTCTATGACTCCTTCAAGATTTGCCAGTGCATGGAACAAAGCAAATGTGCCACATGCATTTCCAATCTTCTGCTTCATGAAAAACACATTATCAGGAGCAGAGAATCCAGATGCCTTCAAAGTGTTATAGGCATTTTCCAACGGTCTTGCTCCCTGCAAATGAAAGTGTAGAGAGATGGCAGCAACAGAAGGGACAGGGAGACAAAAAATTGGATTCAGATAAGAAAACCAGAAACACTGATTCTTGATACATTTCGTCTTGAAGCATCCAAGAATGCGGCTTTGGTGGCTGTTGTAGGTGTGACGGCAACGGTCAGACGAGGTTGATGTATTCGCACTAATTTCGGTGATGGTGATGGGTAGAACAATCAAATTACTGTGGTCAGCTCTTTACGCAATTGCACCCCACAGAATCTCGGCCAAATGCCTCGTCCGTAACGCTACCGTCATGGTAATCTCGTACAAGCCCTGTTGTTTTCCATATATTTAGGAAGTCTAATGTTGGGCGCATTCCAGGATTTTCCTTTTCTTCGCCACTGGTGCTCGATTCTCCAACAACATTCCCTCATAATTATCTCAAACTGCGCTTTCAAAAAAGATCAGTGCTATTTCGAACCGAGTGAAGATATTCTCCTTCCCTTGCTCACCACTTTCTCTTAATTCTGCTTTTAGCACAGGTCAATTAGATGATGTCGCAGAACAGAACGTAAAGCCGACTGCCAATGCTATCAAATTGTTCCAGCCGGCTTAGGTGCTAAAAAAGACATGAGGATGTGAATGTGCATGGGAGAATCGATGGCAACCCAAGCTCAAGCAATAGAGAGCGCTGCGTCGAAAAACTGTAATAATGTGCGAACGTTGACGAACATTTTATGAACGAGCATGTCTATGAGCCACGAACCGAGCACCCAAATTTAGCACGCGACTAGAAAGAAGAACCGGCACGGGGGCCAGAAGTCGTACGAACCCAAAGTGTACAAGTTGTGGGACTGAGAATTCACCTTACCAAGTGAGACAAAGTTTATTCCTGTATTTCATCTTCAACGTATACGAAAAGATTCAATCCGGCTAAGCCGCCCAGGGATTCATGAGATTCATGACAGTAGTTGGTGATCATTTGCACCCCACTTCCCCCTCCCTCCCTCCCCCCCTCCCC